CCCCAAAACCCCAAAACCCCAAAACCCCAAAACCCCAGGAATATGAAATCATATTGAATAATTTCATATTTTATACTACAAACCCCATTCTGGCCTTGTTAAGAGACAATAGTAGAAGTCTAGGCAAGCCAAGAAGGAAGAATGTTGATATCTGAATATATAGTAATGAAATTATAAGATCTTCTTGCTAGAGTGTCTCTGAATCTCATCCTTCCTGATGTTTCGGAGATTATTTCAATACTCCTTCTTGTCCTTCCAGATGTCTTGCAGGCTGCAGTAGATGATATTAAACACCTTGCTGCTTCCCATCTAGAATAGGTGTCAATAGGCGCAAAAATTTAGTCAGGTGCTCAACTTTTTAAGAAACGTTATAAAATTTCTACTAAAATAACAGGTGCTAATAACTGTTATATATTTTCCCAGCATCTGCTGATAGATTATTCTAATTATTTTACTACTATTCCTACAAATTTGGCTGATCATTGAATCGTCTTAACAGTCTTTAAAAATTTCTATCAACAGGCCATAATGTGCATCATTTTGGAAGATTAAAAATATAGTATTTCACAACCAAAACATGGGTTCTTTACCTTTGGGTCAATTTTCTTACATCTAGTGAGGCACTCCTTGTTCTATACCCGGGTTAGATCTCTTCCTTATGTTATATGGGTTAGAATAACGGAATAAATAAAATTTTATAAGCTTTATCAAAATCTTATCAAAACTTTGTTATAATGTTACTCTAAATTTTTACCTAAAATTTAGAGGTAACTCACAAGTTTCCAGCTGGAAATACGATTAGGAGCAAATTCTTACATTCATCAGTCTCATATTAATGTTTGTACGGAAAAATTGGGTTTTATAATCCATGATCCCAATCCTCTTGGGTGATGCCAGATGCGTCTTGGCAGCAATGGATTTTCCATCCTTCTTTGAGATAGACATCCTTGACTGAGAGGCCTGCCTCCCAGCCACCTTACTGATGACTATCTCCTTCTTAGCAGGAAATGATGACCCTTGGAGACTTAGCCGTTTCATCTTTGTAAAGTTCCTAGATCAAGTATCAGAATTGATGCGTTGGTCACAAAGCTTACTTTGTGGGTATCCACATTTTTGCGGAACTTCTTCAGCGCCGTTCAAAGAATTTATCTCCTTGCTTCCTCTTAAGAGCAAGGTTTATCTGTGAGAGTCGGGCCTTGCTCTTTGAATACCTGTTTTCTTTCAATTGTTGGGAGTACTTGTTCATCGATTTAACATCTAATAAAGTTTGGATTTCATTCATTGATCAAGGCTTGTTTGTTGGAAAATAATGCTAGAGGATAGTAGTTATTACACATTAATAATACAGGCAATTCTTAATGCCTGGTTTATGGGTAAGAATCATGAAATATTTGGCTTTGAAGGGGGCCTCATCGTTAAGAAATTAACCCAAGAAGGCCAAGAGCTATTTACACTCCGATATAAGACCACCTACATTAGTGTTAAGGTTGATTCTATTGAGGTAGCTGCTCTTTGCTCTCTTCATGTTTCTTTAACAATAAAATTTAATAATCTATAGTTATGAATGCTTTTGGGGTTTTGGGGTTTTGGGGTTTTGGGGTTTTGGG